TTTTACCACCGTTTTTGCACCAAAACTGATAACGTTGTTTTTCGATTTGCGACGTGGGAATGTCGTCGATGTCTAAAGCTGACCATTGTACGGAAAGGTCCAGCCTAGTATTACTATCTGCTTATCAAGAATATCTGATGACATTTAAATTGATGACGTCACAACTGGTACAAAGAGCATGACCATTAAGTGGCCGTATATGGCCACTTGGACGTCAAAGGGTTAAGGCTGAATTTTAATATATCGAAATTGGTCTATTGCATGAGCTCCAGCTCATGACGTAAACAGAGTGAATTATAACTCAACAGAGCACGCGCGTGACGTAAGCAGAGTACTTTAAGGACTTATATTGAAATGGAATTGACCAATCATAGCGCACGCAGTTCCTCCCAGATTTTATAATGTGGAATAAGTCACGCTCACTTTAACCATAGAAAGCTTCAATGGATGGCTCAACCAACCCCTTACTTTGTTTATTAGACCTCAACCTTGAGCCGTTTGCAAAGCATTTGCCATAAGCTTTTGCGAAACTGTTCCGAGGCAGCTGCTACAAACTTTTTCTTAGTTGCAGCATGACAGCCTTCCCACCCACGTTAAAATCAATACTGGATAAAGGTTATTTGCGGGCTAGGAAGTCCGTATAGTGAAAAATTGTAACCGAGGTCTTGAATCTGAAAATCTACATTTTCAAGACCTCGGTCACAGTTTTTCACTATACGGGCCTACCCTTAGCCGGTAAATAACTTTTTTTTTCCTACTTAAGTTTGTTTGGGCAATCTCAATGTAAACCAAAAGATTGTGTTGCAAAATCTTTGTTTACGCACACATCCAGCTGACTCGATCGGTGAAAATCATTTGCTAAATACTGTATGCACTTTACACAGCCAAACAAAATGACTTCGCTACGGTGAGCCATAATCGTGGAAAACTTCGTCTAAAAAGAGAGAAAAGCATAAAAAATGTAACACCAACAAGAGCATGAAAACTGGATAAAAATCATCCATATGCATGAAATTTCTTTCAGCCGAAGATCTATTTCGACTTCGGAGTTTGTTAACCATAAGCTATATTATAAACTTTAAGTCAACTTCTCTGACTGAAAAGGACTTACATGGCAAATTTTCTAGCTGACTATATTTGTATTTAAAGTATTAATAACCTTTACTTTGATTATATTCTTACACTATTTATTTTGACAAACGGTGGGCGAAAGTGAAATCAATTAAATGTGTTAGGTGGCCCCATGTTTACGGCACAACATAGTACTGCGAGAATTTATAATTTCACTGTTGTTTATTAAAGCATCTCATTTTTTTGAATGGTGGAAAACAGCATTTTATTTTGCCAAAAAGTAAAAGAGCAGCACGGTGTTTTAAGTGATAACTGGAGACTGAAAAGCAGCGACTTGCAGCTAATCTCAAATGGCATGAAAATCAGAGCGAATACACACGTACACAACCATCAACAAACCACAGCCGTAATTATAAAAACTGGACTTTGATTCTGTCAATACAGAGAATGAACCCTCGCCTTTTGTAGAACTTCATGGCCTTTAATTCCACTGCTAAATTTTTCTTTTCCATTTACAACGGTTGTTGAGCAACTATACCTTTTTTTGAGATGTTTTTTTTAATGATTTTTTGAGATGATCTCGGATCAATTGCGTTACCGTGCCCGTGGAGAGAGATAAGAAAATCCGGACCGTGCTTAGAACCAATCAGATTGCAGGATTCGTTACCGTGCCGTCTCAACAAAAAAAACAAAAAAAAAAAACAAAAAAAATGCTATTATTATGCATCTGGGCCGCCAGCACCAGATTACATAGCAAAACAGTTTCGTATTTCAATGGGACTACCATTATTAAATGTAGGCCTCACGGTATTATCCACTTGCATTTCCATAATATAAACACCTTACATCTAGATCAAGAGTTGGATATGGTATTAGTGATTGCTCGGACGACAAACACATAAGGATTACAGTTTTGTGGAGTACAAAGTTTTGAAATGTATGCCAGAAATACAAGTTTAGGGGTATTGAACGGTCTTTGCGAGCATTTGCGAGCTAGCCGACACCATCGTGATAGCATTACTTTTTTCGAGCATACAAGCAGTTGAGCTGCATGAACTTGCAAGCAGCGAGTAAATTTCAAATGAAACCACGAAAAAGATCTTGATCATGGGCATGTGAGCTTCACCAGAAACTGTTCAATATGTTACTAAAATTTTGCGAGCAATCCTAGCGACGTTTCGCGAGGACCTTAAAACTACCCTGCATAAAGTGAAGAAAAACGAGGCTCAATATGAAGACCAAATGAAAACCAATAGAGTGGTTGCGTTGGAAAAAGGACAATGAGCCAAAACTTAATATGTCTTTTGTTTCAGTGTTAATTTTAGAAGCCCTTTGCCTCCACCGATTTTAAAAAATTCCCGAGCCAGGGGGGGGGGGGGGGG